GTAGCTGCGTCTGTGTCTGTGTCAGGTCAGCTGTCGGCCCCCTGCTCGTGTCGCTCTCTGGCGCACGAGACCGTCCTCTGGCACCACCGACTTGGTCACCCGTCCGTGCAGCGCCTTCGTGCCATGCACAAACGGTACCTTGTCTCTGGTCTTCCCAGGGTTCTCCCTCCCCTCCCACCCTCGCCTGCTCCTCCCTGTCTTCCCTGTGTCGAGGGGCGGCAGCGCGCCGCTCCTCACTCCTCCTCGTTTCCCCCGACGACTGCTCCCTTGCAGACGCTCCACATGGACGTGTGGGGCCCAGCCCGCGTCCGTGGTCAGGGTCAGGAGAGGTACTTCCTGATAGTTGTTGACGACTACTCGCGCTACACCACGGTCTTCCCCTTGCGCACCAAGGGTGAGGTCCCTGATGTTTTGATCCCTTGGATCAGCGCTTCTCGTCTCCAGCTCAGCGAGCGTTTCCACTCGGACTTTCCTGTCCTGCGCTTGCACTCTGACAGAGGTGGTGAGTTCTCCTCCGATCTCTTGGCAGCCTACTGTGCGGAGCACGGCATCCGCCAGTCGTTCACGCTTCCGGCCTCTCCACAGCAGAATGGGGTTGCTGAGCGCCGCATTGGCTTGGTCATGGAGGTCGCTCGTACCTCCTTGATCCATGCGGCTGCCCCCCACTTTCTGTGGCCGTTTGCAGTCCGATACGCTGCGCATCAGCTCAACCTCTGGCCCCGTGTCTCCGTTCCGGAGACTTCGCCGACACTGCGTTGGACGGGAGAGGTTGGCGATGCGTCACGCTTTCGGGTCTGGGGATCTCGAGCTTTTGTCCGCGATACGTCTGCGGACAAGCTCTCCTCCCGTGCTGTTCCTTGTGTCTTCCTTGGCTTTGTCCCGGACGCGTCTGGTTGGCAGTTTTACCACCCCACCTCGCGCCGTGTCTTGCCTTCTCAGGACGTCACTTTCGACGAGTCCGTCCCCTACTACCGCCTCTTCCCCTACCGCACCGCCCCGCTCCCCCCCCCGCCTCTCTTCCTCGCGCCAGGTGCTGCTGTGGTAGACCCCCTCCCCCCTCAGGGTGCCGCTCCCTCAGGTGTGTCCCAGGTAGACCCGGTCGAGGTAGCTGTCGACTCTCGTCCTGCTAGGGGTGCTGAGCCTGAGGGTGCGGAGCCTGGGGGTGCGGAGCCTGGGGTTGCGGAGTCTGGGGGTGCTGAGCCTGGGGGTGCGGAGCCTGGGGGTGCTGAGCCTGGGGGTGCGGAGCCTGCGGGTGCTGAGTCTGGGGGTGCTGAGTCTGGAGGTGCTGAGCCTGGGAGTGCTACACCTGGAGGAGCTCTCTCCTCACAGCAGCTGCGTGAGTGTTACTTATAGTACTGCAGCCTCAGGAGAGGTGCTTCTGGAGCTAGGAGTGCGGCTGGAGCTGGTGCTAGTGCTTCCCCTCCTAGGCGGGAGCTGCCTTCTCCCCAGCGGCTCCGAGAGTGGTACGCACGGCGCTGCAGTCTCCGGAGTGGCGCTCCTAGTGTCGCGGACCCAGCTGCTGGAGGTGCTGCTGCTCGCGGTGCTTCTGGCGCTGCTGGTGGTACTGCCTGCTGGAGCTGCTGGAGGTGCTGCTGGTGCTGGGGCTACTGGAGCTGCTGGAGGTACTGCTTCTTCTGGAGGTGCTACTGGTGCTGCGGACCCTGGAGTTGGAGCTGCTGCTGGTGCTGAGGACCCGGGCGTTGGAGCTGCTGCTGGTGCTGCGGACCCGGGCGTTGGAGCTGCTGCTGGTGCTGCGGACCCTGGAGTCGGCGCTGCTGCTGGTGCTGCGGACCCTGGAGTTGGAGTTGCTGCTGGTGCTGAGGACCCTGGAGGTGGTGCTGCTACTGGTGCTGAGGACCCTGGCGCTGGTGTCTCTGCTGGTTCTGGAGACGCTGCGCGGCCGCGGCCGTACTTCGTTCCGCTCCTTCAGCAGGTTCTTGGTCAGCCTCCTCCTCCTTGTCCTCCTCCCTCCTTAGAGTGTCCTCCGTCTGTCCAGTCGCAGTCACAGTTACCGTCTGCCTCCCCTCTCCCTTGTCCTTCTCCTTACACTGGTCCGACTGGAGGTCTTACGGAGCGTCGTGAGCCTAAGTCTCGTCCTGCGTCGCCTGAGTCTCGTCGAGCGTCGCCTGTACGTGCTGCTCACACTGGTCGTCGTGTCCCGCGTCAGCGTCCTCCTGCTGTCCCAGGCACTCACCAGATGGCGCTTCGTCCTTCCACTACTCCCCAGCGTGTCCCTCTCCCGTCTCCTCCTGCGTCCTCTCTTCCTGCTCTTGCTGACCCTGAGTCTGACTCCCTTCGTGCTACCAGTCCTACTGTCACGCGTCTCCTGGCTACTGTTGTCACTGACCCTTCCTTTGAGTCCACTGCTGCGTCTGCCTTAGTTGCTGAGCTTGTCGACTTTGCTGCCGCTTGTCGTCTAGACTACGCCGCTAGCCTAGTTGCTGAGTCTGAGTCTGTCTGTCCTCCGTCCGTCGGGGGTGAGTGTGCTCTTGGCACGGACGTCCTTGAGGACAGGCAGGAGGAGTTTGAGTGCTTTGCCGCTGCTTTACCTCATCTCGTGTCCATGCTAGTTGCCCCTGAGGGAGACCCGGATGCACCAGACATCCCGACTCCGTGCTCTTACGCAGAGGCGATAGAGGGTCCCTACTCCTCTCAGTGGCAGACAGCCATGGACGCAGAGATGGCTTCCTGGAAGTCCACAGGCACCTACGTCGACGAGGTTCCCCCACCTGGGGCGAACATCGTCAGTGGCATGTGGATTTTCAGGGTGAAGCGGCCGCCGGGTTCTCCGCCTGTCTTCAAGGCGCGTTACGTTGCACGAGGCTTCAGTCAGCGAGAGGGAGTTGACTTCTTCCAGACCTTCTCCCTGACCCCGAAGATGACCACTCTTCGGGTTCTGCTGCACGTCGCCGCTCAGCGTGACTACGAGCTCCACTCTCTTGACTTCAGCACTGCTTTCCTACAGGGCAGCCTGCACGAGGAGATCTGGTTGCGCCGCCCACCTGGCTTCACTGGGTCGTTCCCTCCTGGTACCCAGTGGAGCCTCCGGCGGCCAGTCTACGGTCTCCGACAGGCGCCACGTGAGTGGCACGACACACTGAGGACTACACTTGCGGCTCTTGGGTTCGCTCCTTCCACTGCTGACCCGTCGCTGTTTCTACGCACCGACACCTCACTGCCGCCGTTCTACATCCTCGTGTACGTCGACGACTTGGTCTTTGCCACTGCTGACACTGTCGCACTCGCCCACGTGAAGTCGGAGCTGCAGAAGAGACACACGTGCACAGACCTGGGTGAACTGACAAGCTATCTTGGCTTGCGGATCACCCGGGACAGAGCACAGCGCACCATCACCTTGACTCAGTCACACATGGTGCAGCAGGTCCTTCAGCGCTTCCGCTTCACGTACTCCTCGCCTCAGCCCACTCCTCTGCCTACCGGTCACTCGCTCTCAACTCTGCCTTCGGATGAGTCCGTAGAGCCGAGTGGCCCGTATCCAGAGCTTGTGGGCTGCCTCATGTACCTGATGACCTGCACTCGACCTGACCTTGCATACCCTCTTAGCATCCTTGCACGCTATGTCGCTCCTGGCCGTCACCGGAAGGAGCACATGGATGCCGCTAAGAGGGTGTTGCGCTACTTGTGCAGTACGTCGGGCATGGGGCTAGTGCTTGGAGGACGAGACCGAGTTGTACTCACTGGGCACTCAGACGCTTCTTGGGCTGACGACCAGGCTACTCAGCGGTCGTCTCAGGGTTACACCTTCAGCCTTGGCTCTGGTTCAGTTTCTTGGCGTTCTACACGCTCGTCTTCTGTTCTCAGCTCCAGTTGTGAGGCTGAGATCTACGCCACAGCCATGGCTGCCCAGGAGTTACGCTGGCTCACCTACCTGTTGACCGACTTGGGAGAGCGGCCTCGTTCTCCTCCAGTGCTGTACGTCGACAACAAGGCTGCCATTGCCTTGTGTGAGGAGCACAGACTGGAGCACAGAACGAAGCATATCGCTCTGCGCTACTTCCTTGCTCGAGAGCTGCAGCAGCGCGGTCAGCTTCGTCTGCGTTACGTGGCCACTCGGGCCAACACTGCTGATGTGTTCACCGAGGCGCTTCAGCCTTGTGACCATCAGCGCTTCTGTACTGTTCTAGGCCTTGTGCCTACTGGGCCTCACTTGCTTACTTCTTGACTCTACTTGTACTGTGATCTCTATATATATATAACCCTATTCTAGATTCTAACAATAACATCGCATTCAGGGTCCATAGGCCGCGTACTCTGTATTGACAGGGTCCGTGAAAACCCTACACTGAGAGTGTACACAAAACTTCAGGGTCCACTAAAGCAATACTCTGAATGGATCAGGGACCAAAATGTGAAAAACCTGGTTTCTCAGGGACCAGGAAGTGACAAGTCTGAAATCACCCTGAAATCAGGGTAATTACCCTGATAAAATCAGCCTCTGAGGGCCTGGTCTTTTGACACAAATATCAATGTTGGATGATTTTTTCAAGTGTTATTTTTAACCTATTTCAACACCTCTCAGAATATAGGCATTTTTAGGAAAGATAATTGTGATGATAAAACGATATAACCAAGAAGCGAATGTTATTTTCAATGTAAATAACTCACAAATCAACTCCTCGATTTTCAAAACCCTGCACCTTTCTGGTTATATATCACACTGATTGTTTTATCACAAGTGTAGCTCCCTCTCTGGCATCTGGTCGACAAGCTCTCGCCTGCGATCGTCTAAAACGCTGCTAACGAAATTGGCGACAGCTCACAATCTTCGTGGTTCATATGTTCGAAATATATGAACCGCTACAAAACCTTGCCTACACCTGCCCTGCCATTTATGAGAGCCGCCAGTTGTTTTTTTTGGCAGAACCTGGTCTAGACCCGTCTAGGGCCCCGAACCGCGCTCACAGCGGAAACTCGTGAAACCAACCCTAAGTACCATATACGAGCAGTATACTCCCGTACCCAGCCGTAGCTTTCTTCCGATGGACGACGGATTAACGAACGCGTCGCGTGCGTTCGCAGCACAGAACGGCGTGGGCGCGAAAGGTGACCACGACGATGGCGACGCGGATGATGTGATTGTAACGGTGGACCCTCTCCGCGTGAAGCGCGTGCGGCAGATGGACGTCACCGGTAGCGAGGACCACGTGCTGTACGTGCCACGTCACCCTCTTCCCCTCTTTCCCCCCCGCTTCTCCCCCCTCTCCCCACAACACGTACTGTACGTGCCACGTCCTCCTCCTCCAATCCTTTCCCACCACGTGTTGCAATACGACACTCACCAAGCGTACAGATAGCGTCCATTCGCCCTTCCCACCGTCGGCTGCTCAGCTCTCTTCATCTCTCCATGCCCTATCGCCAAGGATCGCCTTTTCCTGCATCCCATCACTCTCCCCACACTCTCCTCCTTCCTCTTCCCCGCATCCCTCCCCCCCACCCCCCACCCCGTCCTTCCCCCGCCCTCCCCCAGCGACCCGCCCGAGGGAGAGCGCATGCTGGCGCTTCTGGCGCAGCTGGACAGTGCGCGCGCGCGCGCAGCACAGAGGAAGGGCGCGCGGGGGGGGAAGGGGGGCCGGAAACGGCGGGACAGGGGGGAGGCGGATGGGGATGCTGGCGGGGACGAGAATGAACGGGAGAAGGGGAGGAAAGGGGAGGGAGGGGGAGGGGAGGACTTGAAAGGAGGTGGGGGAAAGGCAGCAGGCGCAGGGGGAGCTGGGGGGAAGGCAGTGGCGGAGGCACATGGGGAGTGGGCGTGGCAGGGGGTGATGTCACAGCTGACGTCAGCACAGGAGGAGCTGAGGGTGATAGTGGATCTGGTGAATGCGGTTGAGAGCGGTGCAGAGGGGCTGGCTGTGAGTGGCGTGTCGAAGCCAAAGCAGCATGCAGCAGAGATGAGCTCCGAGCTCACAGCCCGGCTGGCAGGCAAACTCACGCTGCTGCAGGTGGGTACAGTGCGGTTCAGTGTGGTGGGGCGTGAGTCAGTGTGGTGAGAGGTGGTGGGGCTTGGCGGGGCATGAGATGTGGGAGTATGCAATGTGAAGGGGTGGGCTCTGGACTGATGGGCATGTGCCATGTGTGCATGTACGCATGTGTGTGCATGTATGCATGTGTGCATGTACGCATGTGTGTGCATGTGTGCATGTGTGCATGTGTGCATGTGTGCATGTACGCATGTGTGCATGTGTGCATGTGCCATGTGCGCATGTGCGCGTGTGTGCATGTGTGCATGTGTGCATGTGTGCATGTGCCATGTGCGCATGTGTGCATGTACGCATGTGTGCATGTGCGCATGTGTGTGCATGTGTGCATGTGCCATGTGTGCATGTGTGCATGTACGCATGTGTGCATGTGTGCATGTGTGCATGTGTGCATGTACGCATGTGTGCATGTGTGCATGTACGCATGTGTGCATGTGTGCATGTACGCATGTGTGCATGTGCGCATGTGTGCATGTGCGCATGTGTGCATGTACGCATGTGTGCATGTACGCATGTGTGCATGTGTGCATATATACATGTGTGCATCCACGTGTGTGTGCATGTGTGCATACATACATGTGTGCATACATACATGTGTGCATGTACGCATGTGTGCGTGTGTGCATATATACATGTGTGCGTGTGTGGATATGTGCACCTTTTAGCTCGTCTCTTCCCCTCCCCGGTTGCCAGTTTCCGCTCCTGTCTGTTCCGCCTCCTCTCCCTTTTCCCTCTCCTCTGCTCCTCTCATCCATTCTCCCCGTTCTCGCCTTCCCCTCATGACTGTCGCCATTCTTCTCCTTCGCCCCGTCTGCCCCTCTGCCGGGCTCAACAGGATGTGGGGGGAGGCTTGCTGCACGCAGCAGCGCGCCTCACACAGCAAGTCAGCGACGACGCACCGTTCTACACCGCACTCCAGCGGTGAGCACCTCACTGGACCTGCGTGCATGCCCCCCCGTGCTGTCCACAGCAATCGGTAGTCACCTGATACCGCTTATTACACATCAACACAACCATCCGTCTCTCCGTTCCCTTCCCTCACCGCCCTCTTCCGCCACCCTTTGCACCCCATTCTCTCTCACTACTCACCATCCCCTACGGTGCATTGTCTCCCATCCTGTGCCTTGTCTCTCTTCCCATGCTCTGCCTGGCAGCATACAGCATCGGTGGAAGGTGAAGCGCACCCACCCTGCCCTCGCCCCTCCGCCCACCCCTCTCTCCGCCGCCTCCTCAACCGCAGCTGGCTTTGCGGCTGACGTCACAGTGCAATCGCTGCTCCTCTCCCTCCCTCACGCGCCCTCTCTACCTGCCAGCATGCCTCTCATACCCGCTACAATCCTCCCCTTTACCTCATTAAGACTCGATAGGGACAAGCAGGGAATGCTCCGGGCTGCTCCGCCTGAAGGCCAGCCAATCAGGAGGCTCCACGTCAGCGTGTTTGGGAGGGAAGCGGGCGGAGACTATGGGGAGGATGGTGGTGGTGGTGCTCGCAGTAGCAGTGAGGGGTTGGTGGGGAACGGGGGAGAGGAGGAAGGCGAGGGTGGGAGGATGGCAGAGGGGAAGGAAGGGGAGGAGGGGGCGGAGGAGGAGGAGGAAGGGGGTGTGGGGAGGGCGGTGCGCCAGGCTCACGAGCTTCTGAGGGCCGCGCAACGATCGTGGCTTGACTGGCAGGTATGACGGTTGACTGGTAGGTAACATGGTTGACTGGTAGGTAACATGGTTGACTGGTAGGTAACATGGTTGACTGGTAGGTAAGACGGTTGACGGGCAGGTAACATGGTTGACGGGCAGGTAACATGGTTGACTGGCAGGTAACATGGTTGACTGGCAGGTAACATGGTTGACTGGCAGGTAACATGGTTGACTGGCAGGTAACATGGTTGACTGGCAGGTAACATGGTTGACTGGCAGGCAGGTAATGTTGCTGTCACAGCGGATGCGACCAACAGTTGTTCCACCTGTGCTTACTTGCTTGCTTCTAGTGCCGCACAGCACACTCATCGCACAGCACACTCACCTCACGGTCCTCCCTTCACCGTCCCCCCCTCCTACGCTGCTCCTCGCTCCCGGTCTTACCCCCACGGCAGCTGTTCGAGTCACTTCAGAGCCACCTGGCAGCAGCCTCCACCGTCGCTCTCCCTCTCGCCTCCATCTCCTCCTCCTCCCTCTCCCTCTCCCTCGCCTCCTCCCCTGCCTGCCTCTCTCTGCACCTCCTCTCCTCCGCCCCTGCCCTTCCCCTCTGGTCCTCTCTCATTCGCCGCGCCCACCGCCGCCGCCCCCATCAGCAGCAAACTAAGAGAGCACAGCAGCAGGGGGGGCAGGGGCAGGGGCAGGGGCAGGGTGACTTGCAGGAAGGGCAGCAGCAGGAGAAGGTGAAGGGGGAAACTGATCAGGAGAAGGGGCAGCAGGCGGAGGGTTGGCAGGATAGGGCAGCGGTTGGGAGGTTTTTGTATGAGGCGGACTCAGCAGCTGCAAGGGTGTATCTAGGGGAGGCTTATCTGTTGCTCCAGCAGCAGGCACAGGAAAGAGCGGGGAAGCTTCGCTTTCAGTTGCTAGACTCGGAAATTGAAGGGGAGGGGGAAGGGGAGGAGGAGAGGGAGGGAGGTGATGGGGGGAGTGGGATGCGGTGTGGGGGAGGGGGGGAGAGGGGGGAAGCACGGCTACGGGCAGCAGGGGGCCTGGAGTGGTGGGGGAGGAGTGAGGGGGGGGTAGGGGGGAGTGCGATGGGGGGACCAGCGGGAAGCGGGAGGAAGGCGTCAGGATGGGGATGGGCGGGTGGAGGGGGGGGAGGAGGGGGAGGCGGCGGCACTGGCACTGCTGCTGGCGGTGCTGCTGGTGTTGGTGGTGGCGGCGGTGGTGGGAGTGCGGTGGGGATGGGTGTGGGGGTGGTGGAGCTGCTGTGGGGGGCAGCAGCGCACAGGGCAAAGAAGAAGGCTGTGGAGCGATGCCTCTTCCGCATGGTAGGGTGCTGCTGGGAGTATGTACCATGCATGGTATGGTGCTGCATGCATGGTATGGTGCTGCTGGGAGTATGTACCATGCATGGTATGGTGGTGCATGCATGGTATGGTGCTGCTGGGAGTATGTACCATGCATGGTATGGTGCTGCATGCATGGTATGGTGCATGTACCATGCATGGTATGGTGCATGTACCATATATGGTATGGTGGTGATGGGAGTATGTACCATGCATGGTATGGTGGTGATGGGAGTATGTACCATGCACGGTATGGTGGTGATGGGAGTATGTACCATGCATGGTATGGTGGTGATGGGAGTATGTACCATGCATGGTATGGTGGTGATGGGAGTATGTACGATGCACGGTATGGTGGTGATGGGAGTATGTACCATGCATGGTATGGTGGTGATGGGAGTATGTACCATGCATGGTATGGTGGTGATGGGAGTATGTACGATGCATGGTATGGTGGTGATGGGAGTATGTACCATGCATGGTATGGTGGTGATGGGAGTATGTACCATGCATGGTATGGTGGTGATGGGAGTATGTACCATGCATGGTATGGTGGTGATGGGAGTATGTACCATGCACGGTATGGTGGTGATGGGAGTATGTACCATGCATGGTATGGTGGTGATGGGAGTATGTACGATGCATGGTATGGTGGTGATGGGAGTATGTACCATGCATGGTATGGTGGTGATGGGAGTATGTACCATGCATGGTATGGTGGTGATGGGAGTATGTACCATGCATGGTATGGTGGTGATGGGAGTATGTACCATGCACGGTATGGTGGTGATGGGAGTATGTACCATGCATGGTATGGTGGTGATGGGAGTATGTACCATGCATGGTATGGTGGTGATGGGAGTATGTACGATGCACGGTATGGTGGTGATGGGAGTATGTACCATGCATGGTATGGTGGTGATGGGAGTATGTACGATGCATGGTATGGTGCTGATGGGAGTATGTACCATGCATGGTATGGTGGTGATGGGAGTATGTACGATGCATGGTATGGTGGTGATGGGAGTATGTACCATGCATGGTATGGTGGTGATGGGAGTATGTACCATGCATGGTATGGTGGTGATGGGAGTATGTACCACACATGGTATGGTGGTGATGGGAGTATGTACCATGCATGGTATGGTGGTGATGGGAGTATGTACCATGCATGGTATGGTGGTGATGGGAGTATGTACCATGCATGGTATGGTGGTGACGGGAGTATGTACCATGCATGGTATGGTGGTGATGGGAGTATGTACCATGCATGGTATGGTGGTGATGGGAGTATGTACCACACATGGTATGGTGGTGATGGGAGTATGTACCATGCATGGTATGGTGGTGATGGGAGTATGTACCATCCACGGTATGGTGGTGATGGGAGTATGTACCATGCATGGTATGGTGGTGATGGGAGTATGTAACATGCATGGTATCGTGTGGCATGCATGGTATGGTGCGACATGCATGGTATGGTGCGACATGCATGGTATGGTGCGACATGCATGGTATGGTGCGGCATGCATGATATGGTGCGACATGCATGGTATGGTGCGACATGCATGGTATGGTGCGGCATGCATGGTATGGTGCGGCATGCATGGTATGGTGCGACATGCATGGTATGGTGCGACATGCATGGTATGGTGCGACATGCATGGTATGGTGCGGCATGCATGATATGGTGCGACATGCATGGTATGGTGCGACATGCATGGTATGGTGCGGCATGCATGGTATGGTGCGGCATGCATGGTATGGTGCGACATGCATGGTATGGTGCGACATGCATGGTATGGTGCGACATGCATGGTATGGTGCGGCATGCATGGTATGGTGCGGCATGCATGGTATGGTGCGACATGCATGGTATGGTGTGAGATGCATGGTATGGTGCGACATGCATGGTATGGTGCGGCATGCATGGTATGGTGCGGCATGCATGGTATGGTGCGGCATGCATGGTATGGTGCGACATGCATGGTATGGTGCGACATGCATGGTATGGTGCGGCATGCATGGTATGGTGCGGCATGAATGGTATGGTGTGACATGCATGGTATGGTGCTGCCCCCTTGAATCTGCCCCTGCATCACCTTTGCCTACCTACGCACCTGATGAATCTGACCCTCCCGCTACCCACTGCTCATCACTCCCCCTCTCACCTCACCCTGTGCCCACTCCTGCCCCTCACTCTGCTCCCCATGCCGCTCCTGCCCCTCACTCTGCTCCCCATGCCGCTCCTGCCCCTCACTCTGCTCCCCATGCCGCTCCTGCCCCTCACTCTGCTCCCCATGCCGCTCCTGCCCCTCACTCTGCTCCCCATGCCGCTCCTGCCCCTCACTCTGCTCCCCATGCCGCTCCTGCCCCTCACTCTGCTCCCCATGCCGCTCCTGCCCCTCACTCTGCTCCCCATGCCGCTCCTGCCCCTCACTCTGCTCCCCATGCCGCTCCTGCCCCTCACTCTGCTCCCCATGCCGCTCCTGCCCCTCACTCTGCTCCCCATGCCGCTCCTGCCCCTCACTCTGCTCCCCATGCCACTCCTGCCCCTCACTCTGCTCCCCATGCCACTCCTGCCCCTCACTCTGCTCCCCATGCCGCTCCTGCCCCTCACTCTGCTCCCCATGCCGCTCCTGCCCCTCACTCTGCTCCCCATGCCACTCCTGCCCCTCACTCTGCTCCCCATGCCGCTCCTGCCCCTCACTCTGCTCCCCATGCCGCTCCTGCCCCTCACTCTGCTCCCCATGCCGCTCCTGCCCCTCACTCTGCTCCCCATGCCGCTCCTGCCCCTCACTCTGCTCCCCATGCCGCTACTGCCCCTCACTCTGCTCCCCATGCCACTCCTGCCCCTCACTCTGCTCCCCATGCCACTCCTGCCCCTCACTCTGCTCCCCATGCCGCTCCTGCCCCTCACTCTGCTCCCCATGCCGCTCCTGCCCCTCACTCTGCTCCCCATGCCACTCCTGCCCCTCACTCTGCTCCCCATGCCGCTCCTGCCCCTCACTCTGCTCCCCATGCCGCTCCTGCCCCTCACTCTGCTCCCCATGCCGCTCCTGCCCCTCACTCTGCTCCCCATGCCGCTCCTGCCCCTCACTCTGCTCCCCATGCCGCTCCTGCCCCTCACTCTGCTCCCCATGCCACTCCTGCCCCTCACTCTGCTCCCCATGCCACTCCTGCCCCTCACTCTGCTCCCCATGCCGCTCCTGCCCCTCACTCTGCTCCCCATGCCGCTCCTGCCCCTCACTCTGCTCCCCATGCCACTCCTGCCCCTCACTCTGCTCCCCATGCCGCTCCTGCCCCTCACTCTGCTCCCCATGCCGCTCCTGCCCCTCACTCTGCTCCCCATGCCGCTCCTGCCCCTCACTCTGCTCCCCATGCCGCTCCTGCCCCTCATTCTGCTCCCCATGCCACTCCTGCCCCTCACTCTGCTCCCCATGCCGCTCCTGCCCCTCACTCTGCTCCCCATGCCGCTCCTGCCCCTCACTCTGCTCCCCATGCCGCTCCTGCCCCTCACTCTGCTCCCCATGCCGCTCCTGCCCCTCACTCTGCTCCCCATGCCGCTCCTGCCCCTCACTCTGCTCCCCATGCCGCTCCTGCCCCTCACTCTGCTCCCCATGCCGCTCCTGCCCCTCACTCTGCTCCCCATGCCGCTCCTGCCCCTCACTCTGCTCCCCATGCCGCTCCTGCCCCTCACTCTGCTCCCCATGCCGCTCCTGCCCCTCACTCTGCTCCCCATGCCGCTCCTGCCCCTCACTCTGCTCCCCATGCCGCTCCTGCCCCTCACTCTGCTCCCCATGCCGCTCCTGCCCCTCACTCTGCTCCCCATGCCGCTCCTGCCCCTCACTCTGCTCCCCATGCCGCTCCTGCCCCTCACTCTGCTCCCCATGCCGCTCCTGCCCCTCACTCTGCTCCCCATGCCGCTCCTGCCCCTCACTCTGCTCCCCATGCCGCTCCTGCCCCTCACTCTGCTCCCCATGCCGCTCCTGCCCCTCACTCTGCTCCCCATGCCGCTCCTGCCCCTCACTCTGCTCCCCATGCCGCTCCTGCCCCTCACTCTGCTCCCCATGCCGCTCCTGCCCCTCACTCTGCTCCCCATGCCGCTCCTGCCCCTCACTCTGCTCCCCATGCCGCTCCTGCCCCTCACTCTGCTCCCCATGCCGCTCCTGCCCCTCACTCTGCTCCCCATGCCGCTCCTGCCCCTCACTCTGCTCCCCATGCCGCTCCTGCCCCTCACTCTGCTCCCCATGCCGCTCCTGCCCCTCACTCTGCTCCCCATGCCGCTCCTGCCCTCACTCCACTCTGCTCCCCATGCCGCTCCTGCCCCTCACTCTGCTCCCCATGCCGCTCCTGCCCCTCACTCTGCTCCCCATGCCGCTCCTGCCCCTCACTCTGCTCCCCATGCCGCTCCTGCCCCTCACTCTGCTCCCCATGCCGCTCCTGCCCCTCACTCTGCTCCCCATGCCGCTCCTGCCCCTCACTCTGCTCCCCATGCCGCTCCTGCCCCTCACTCTGCTCCCCATGCCGCTCCTGCCCCTCACTCTGCTCCCCATGCCGCTCCTGCCCCTCACTCTGCTCCCCATGCCGCTCCTGCCCCTCACTCTGCTCCCCATGCCGCTCCTGCCCCTCACTCTGCTCCCCATGCCGCTCCTGCCCCTCACTCTGCTCCCCATGCCGCTCCTGCCCCTCACTCTGCTCCCCATGCCGCTCCTGCCCCTCACTCTGCTCCCCATGCCGCTCCTGCCCCTCACTCTGCTCCCCATGCCGCTCCTGCCCCTCACTCTGCTCCCCATGCCGCTCCTGCCCCTCACTCTGCTCCCCATGCCGCTCCTGCCCCTCACTCTGCTCCCCATGCCGCTCCTGCCCCTCACTCTGCTCCCCATGCCGCTCCTGCCCCTCACTCTGCTCCCCATGCCGCTCCTGCCCCTCACTCTGCTCCCCATGCCGCTCCTGCCCCTCACTCTGCTCCCCATGCCGCTCCTGCCCCTCACTCTGCTCCCCATGCCGCTCCTGCCCCTCACTCTGCTCCCCATGCCGCTCCTGCCCCTCACTCTGCTCCCCATGCCGCTCCTGCCCCTCACTCTGCTCCCCATGCCGCTCCTGCCCCTCACTCTGCTCCCCATGCCGCTCCTGCCCCTCACTCTGCTCCCCATGCCGCTCCTGCCCCTCACTCTGCTCCCCATGCCGCTCCTGCCCCTCACTCTGCTCCCCATGCCGCTCCTGCCCCTCACTCTGCTCCCCATGCCGCTCCTGCCCCTCACTCTGCTCCCCATGCCGCTCCTGCCCCTCACTCTGCTCCCCATGCCGCTCCTGCCCCTCACTCTGCTCCCCATGCCGCTCCTGCCCCTCACTCTGCTCCCCATGCCGCTCCTGCCCCTCACTCTGCTCCCCATGCCGCTCCTGCCCCTCACTCTGCTCCCCATGCCGCTCCTGCCCCTCACTCTGCTCCCCATGCCGCTCCTGCCCCTCACTCTGCTCCCCATGCCGCTCCTGCCCCTCACTCTGCTCCCCATGCCGCTCCTGCCCCTCACTCTGCTCCCCATGCCGCTCCTGCCCCTCACTCTGCTCCCCATGCCGCTCCTGCCCCTCACTCTGCTCCCCATGCCGCTCCTGCCCCTCACTCTGCTCCCCATGCCGCTCCTGCCCCTCACTCTGCTCCCCATGCCGCTCCTGCCCCTCACTCTGCTCCCCATGCCGCTCCTGCCCCTCACTCTGCTCCCCATGCCGCTCCTGCCCCTCACTCTGCTCCCCATGCCGCTCCTGCCCCTCACTCTGCTCCCCATGCCGCTCCTGCCCCTCACTCTGCTCCCCATGCCGCTCCTGCCCCTCACTCTGCTCCCCATGCCGCTCCTGCCCCTCACTCTGCTCCCCATGCCGCTCCTGCCCCTCACTCTGCTCCCCATGCCGCTCCTGCCCCTCACTCTGCTCCCCATGCCGCTCCTGCCCCTCACTCTGCTCCCCATGCCGCTCCTGCCCCTCACTCTGCTCCCCATGCCGCTCCTGCCCCTCACTCTGCTCCCCATGCCGCTCCTGCCCCTCACTCTGCTCCCCATGCCGCTCCTGCCCCTCACTCTGCTCCCCATGCCGCTCCTGCCCCTCACTCTGCTCCCCATGCCGCTCCTGCCCCTCACTCTGCTCCCCATGCCGCTCCTGCCCCTCACTCTGCTCCCCATGCCGCTCCTGCCCCTCACTCTGCTCCCCATGCCGCTCCTGCCCCTCACTCTGCTCCCCATGCCGCTCCTGCCCCTCACTCTGCTCCCCATGCCGCTCCTGCCCCTCACTCTGCTCCCCATGCCGCTCCTGCCCCTCACTCTGCTCCCCATGCCGCTCCTGCCCCTCACTCTGCTCCCCATGCCGCTCCTGCCCCTCACTCTGCTCCCCATGCCGCTCCTGCCCCTCACTCTGCTCCCCATGCCGCTCCTGCCCCTCACTCTGCTCCCCATGCCGCTCCTGCCCCTCACTCTGCTCCCCATGCCGCTCCTGCCCCTCACTCTGCTCCCCATGCCGCTCCTGCCCCTCACTCTGCTCCCCATGCCGCTCCTGCCCCTCACTCTGCTCCCCATGCCGCTCCTGCCCCTCACTCTGCTCCCCATGCCGCTCCTGCCCCTCACTCTGCTCCCCATGCCGCTCCTGCCCCTCACTCTGCTCCCCATGCCGCTCCTGCCCCTCACTCTGCTCCCCATGCCGCTCCTGCCCCTCACTCTGCTCCCCATGCCGCTCCTGCCCCTCACTCTGCTCCCCATGCCGCTCCTGCCCCTCACTCTGCTCCCCATGCCGCTCCTGCCCCTCACTCTGCTCCCCATGCCGCTCCTGCCCCTCACTCTGCTCCCCATGCCGCTCCTGCCCCTCACTCTGCTCCCCATGCCGCTCCTGCCCCTCACTCTGCTCCCCATGCCGCTCCTGCCCCTCACTCTGCTCCCCATGCCGCTCCTGCCCCTCACTCTGCTCCCCATGCCGCTCCTGCCCCTCACTCTGCTCCCCATGCCGCTCCTGCCCCTCACTCTGCTCCCCATGCCGCTCCTGCCCCTCACTCTGCTCCCCATGCCGCTCCTGCCCCTCACTCTGCTCCCCATGCCGCTCCTGCCCCTCACTCTGCTCCCCATGCCGCTCCTGCCCCTCACTCTGCTCCCCATGCCGCTCCTGCCCCTCACTCTGCTCCCCATGCCGCTCCTGCCCCTCACTCTGCTCCCCATGCCGCTCCTGCCCCTCACTCTGCTCCCCATGCCGCTCCTGCCCCTCACTCTGCTCCCCATGCCGCTCCTGCCCCTCACTCTGCTCCCATGCCGCTCCTGCCCCTCACTCTGCTCCCCATGCCGCTCCTGCCCCTCACTCTGCTCCCCATGCCGCTCCTGCCCCTCACTCTGCTCCCCATGCCGCTCCTGCCCCTCACTCTGCTCCCCATGCCGCTCCTGCCCCTCACTCTGCTCCCCATGCCGCTCCTGCCCCTCACTCTGCTCCCCATGCCGCTCCTGCCCCTCACTCTGCTCCCCATGCCGCTCCTGCCCCTCACTCTGCTCCCCATGCCGCTCCTGCCCCTCACTCTGCTCCCCATGCCGCTCCTGCCCCTCACTCTGCTCCCCATGCCGCTCCTGCCCCTCACTCTGCTCCCCATGCCGCTCCTGCCCCTCACTCTGCTCCCCATGCCGCTCCTGCCCCTCACTCTGCTCCCCATGCCGCTCCTGCCCCTCACTCTGCTCCCCATGCCGCTCCTGCCCCTCACTCTGCTCCCCATGCCGCTCCTGCCCCTCACTCTGCTCCCCATGCCGCTCCTGCCCCTCACTCTGCTCCCCATGCCGCTCCTGCCCCTCACTCTGCTCCCCATGCCGCTCCTGCCCCTCACTCTGCTCCCCATGCCGCTCCTGCCCCTCACTCTGCTCCCCATGCCGCTCCTGCCCCTCACTCTGCTCCCCATGCCGCTCCTGCCCCTCACTCTGCTCCCCATGCCGCTCCTGCCCCTCACTCTGCTCCCCATGCCGCTCCTGCCCCTCACTCTGCTCCCCATGCCGCTCCTGCCCCTCACTCTGCTCCCCATGCCGCTCCTGCCCCTCACTCTGCTCCCCATGCCGCTCCTGCCCCTCACTCTGCTCCCCATGCCGCTCCTGCCCCTCACTCTGCTCCCCATGCCGCTCCTGCCCCTCACTCTGCTCCCCATGCCGCTCCTGCCCCTCACTCTGCTCCCCATGCCGCTCCTGCCCCTCACTCTGCTCCCCATGCCGCTCCTGCCCCTCACTCTGCTCCCCATGCCGCTCCTGCCCCCTCACTCTGCTCCCCATGCCGCTCCTGCCCCTCACTCTGCTCCCCATGCCGCTCCTGCCCCTCACTCTGCTCCCCATGCCGCTCCTGCCCCTCACTCTGCTCCCCATGCCGCTCCTGCCCCTCACTCTGCTCCCCATGCCGCTCCTGCCCCTCACTCTGCTCCCCATGCCGCTCCTGCCCCTCACTCTGCTCCCCATGCCGCTCCTGCCCCTCACTCTGCTCCCCATGCCGCTCCTGCCCCTCACTCTGCTCCCCATGCCGCTCCTGCCCCTCACTCTGCTCCCCATGCCGCTCCTGCCCCTCACTCTGCTCCCCATGCCGCTCCTGCCCCTCACTCTGCTCCCCATGCCGCTCCTGCCCCTCACTCTGCTCCCCATGCCGCTCCTGCCCCTCACTCTGCTCCCCATGCCGCTCCTGCCCCTCACTCTGCTCCCCATGCCGCTCCTGCCCCTCACTCTGCTCCCCATGCCGCTCCTGCCCCTCACTCTGCTCCCCATGCCGCTCCTGCCCCTCACTCTGCTCCCCATGCCGCTCCTGCCCCTCACTCTGCTCCCCATGCCGCTCCTGCCCCTCACTCTGCTCCCCATGCCGCTCCTGCCCCTCACTCTGCTCCCCATGCCGCTCCTGCCCCTCACTCTGCTCCCCATGCCGCTCCTGCCCCTCACTCTGCTCCCCATGCCGCTCCTGCCCCTCACTCTGCTCCCCATGCCGCTCCTGCCCCTCACTCTGCTCCCCATGCCGCTCCTGCCCCTCACTCTGCTCCCCATGCCGCTCCTGCCCCTCACTCTGCTCCCCATGCCGCTCCTGCCCCTCACTCTGCTCCCCATGCCGCTCCTGCCCCTCACTCTGCTCCCCATGCCGCTCCTGCCCCTCACTCTGCTCCCCATGCCGCTCCTGCCCCTCACTCTGCTCCCCATGCCGCTCCTGCCCCTCACTCTGCTCCCCATGCCGCTCCTGCCCCTCACTCTGCTCCCCATGCCGCTCCTGCCCCTCACTCTGCTCCCCATGCCGCTCCTGCCCCTCACTCTGCTCCCCATGCCGCTCCTGCCCCTCACTCTGCTCCCCATGCCGCTCCTGCCCCTCACTCTGCTCCCCATGCCGCTCCTGCCCCTCACTCTGCTCCCCATGCCGCTCCTGCCCCTCACTCTGCTCCCCATGCCGCTCCTGCCCCTCACTCTGCTCCCCATGCCGCTCCTGCCCCTCACTCTGCTCCCCATGCCGCTCCTGCCCCTCACTCTGCTCCCCATGCCGCTCCTGCCCCTCACTCTGCTCCCCATGCCGCTCCTGCCCCTCACTCTGCTCCCCATGCCGCTCCTGCCCCTCACTCTGCTCCCCATGCCGCTCCTCCGCCCACTCCCCTGCCCCGTCCACCAGGCACGGCTCTGTCCGCACCTGACAGTGTGCTCGCACGCCACCCACCACCCCACCATCACTGCCTGGACGCTCTCCTTCCGGGCTCCTTCCTCCCGCGCTCTGCACCACACCCGCGGCGGGACAGGCGGTGAGCGGCTGGGTGAGGCGGAGAGAGGGGTGGGCGGGGCAGGGGGAGGGGGGAGGGCTGACGGGCAGGGAGGAGGAGAGGAGGACGGGGGGAGAGCGAGAGGAAAGGAAGAGGCGATGAAGTTGGGAGAGAGGGAGGGCAGGGCAGGGGTAGAAGCAGGTGTGGAGGAGGGTGGGGGCTGTGATGGAGGGGCCGGCAGGCAGGGCACAGTGGGAGACGCGGCAGCAGAGGAACCAGCAGCGGCAGCAGCAGCAGCTACTGGGGCTGCTGAGAGTAATGGGGAGTTGCTGCAAGAGGGGAGGAGGGGCGAGGGCGTGGAGGGTAATGGGGGAGCAGGGAGTGGGAGTGGGGGCGGGGGGGGGAGCGAGTGGTGGGAGTGGGAGGTGGCGGTGCAGCTGAGAGACGTGGAGCTCTCGGTGCTGCCCACCGTGGAGGCAGCAGGCTCACATGCTGGTGTTGGTGCAGCTGCAGGTGCAGGTGCTGCTGCTCACTCACACTCCGCCCTCCCTCTCCACCGCACACACCCACGCCCACGCCCTCTCTCGCTCCCCACCGTGCTGCCCTCCCTGCACGACCTCTCCTCTCTGCTGCTCCACCGTGTCGCCTCCTCCTGCCTCTCCGCGCTCCTTGCCCACGCCCTCTCCCTCTCCCTCCCCGCCTCCGCCTCCCCTTCCTCCCTCTCCTTCACCACCGCATCACACCCCTCTGGACTGCATAAAGGTGAAGGTATTACCACTGGGAGCAGCAGCACGGGGGGCTGCGGCGCCAGTGCGGACCAGCAGGAGTGCTGCTTGGTGGCATGCCCGGATGCGGCTGCCGGTTGTGTGCGCTGGTGGATGGCTCCTAGAGAGCATGCCCTGGCAGCATTGCGCGCATGTGCCATGGCAGGAGGGAGGGCAGGCGGGGTAGAAGATGGCGTGCGAGTGGGGAATGTGGGGAGGAGGAAGGGTGGTGCGAGTCGTGAAAGGGATGAGGGGCATGAGGGGGAGGATGGGGGTGTGGTGCTGTTTGGTGCGTTGGGAGTGGATGAGCTTAAAGATGTGATCACCAGAGCAGCCCTCTGCTAGCATGCATCCAGTAGGAGTAAACCCTAAAGCCTGACCCCTGTCGCCTCCTCTCTCTGCGCTTTCACCTCCCCCCTGTGCATGTCCCTCGTGTATGTCCAGAGGATTATGGTATATGCCACCCCACCACAATATGTAAGGTTATTATACATCAAAAGCATCATGACAAGATGCATTGCACAATTGTACCAACGTAATTCATCACTAAATCGAATGTGCCTGTCTGCCTAAAACGAACACCAACTTACGGTAGCAGCTAGTTCCGATGAAACTTCCCCATATCGGCTCAATTTCGCGGTGGCCTTCCCTCATCCGCGCAAAACGGCAGCCGTCCCTCCCCCATACCTTCCCCCCAAGCGCTTCCCCAAAATCACAATCTAGGGGGAGGGTCTATCTATCCCCCCTCCACCACTAGGGGGCTCGGCGGGCGGGACCCCCAGCCCTAGTTCCGCCTGCCATTTTTTTTAGCCTCAGCGGCGCTTCCGCGCGCCAACCTTCCGCCACGAATCCTTGCCCCAACCCGTGCGGAAATCTCTAGGCTCTTGCCAGCATTGCATCTGGAGGAGAATTTCAGCAGAGACTTTCCTGCGAGGTCGAGACCAACTTGGTGGCCCATCCAATAAAGATCCATGGCCGCTGGTGCTTATCTCGCCAAGGCTTCTCTCTCATCCACTGCTCGGCTGCACTCCTTGATATCTCCCAGTTCCGTCAAGAACTTTACTCCGATCGCTGCGCTTTCCCGCCGCCCGGGTTTTGCGCCAGGTTTTCCGCAGGCTAAGCCTCTTCTCACGTCCTCTTTCCGACCTCTCTCTCAGCCGCTTAGGCCCAGGCCTGGAACCCGTCTTGCGAAATTTCCGTTAGTATCACGTGTGACAATGTCGACAGCGGCTGGCGAAGCAGCTGATCGGCCTGTGCCTGTAGAGGATTGTGACTATGAGTGGGATTTAGTCACCATCGGCGTCGGCAGCGGCGGAACCAGGGCTTCGAGAATCGCCGCGTCGTTCGGCGCCAAGGTACGGAGAACCTGGCTCGTCGCCAGATTGTTTTCGAATTTCCAGGATTGTTTTCTTCCGTCCGGACCGTCGGATCAGATTTGTTGTCGTGAATGAACGGCGACAAATTCAGCATCGTGGGTTTCGCTTCGAATCCATCGGTGGCTCAAGCCAGAGATTTCTCGCTTTTAACGGCTTTTGTTTTTTTGTTTATTTTCATTTTTCCCTAATTGTCATGTCTGCCTCAGTTTCCCTTCTGCAATGTGACATGTGGAATGCTATTTATTGGCCAATGATGCAAATCACAACATTACTGAGAACCATTCTGCCCCGTTCTTAGTTCAATGCCTTATGCTCTCAAGGCCTGATCACCGTTGGACACTTCGTGCATCTTTTAACCATCTTCCAGTCTCATAATTGACCTCGTAATTGGGGGGTATTTCCTGCGTTCACCCTTCCAGGTGGCCGCTATCGAGCTGCCGTTCAACCCAATCAGTTCGGAGACCCAAGGAGGCGTCGGCGGGACGTGAGTAGCCTTGAATGCGTTCCGTAGGCTCTGTCATGGCGAGCCTTAGTCCTTTTGAGAGGCTTTATGTTTCTCCACGACGAGCCTTCAGTTCTTGCCATGACGAACCTTCAGCCTGCCATGACGAAACTTCTGCTCAGCCATGAACCTTCGCCTCTGCCATGACGAACTCTAGGCTCTGTCAGAACGCGCCGGTGCTTATACGTGCATGCGTGTGCCAGCTCCGCTTGTGCTGTCTGTCGTCGTTTGAAGTGCCTCAGTAGCTGACTTCCTGGTCCCTAGCGTGATGCGTCTTTTCCTTGCGTGACTTCCTGCTGCCTACTCGTGCCTCACCAATGCCGCGTGGACTGGCTAGTTCGCACACAACCAATCCGCACGGTACAAGTGTACACTTGAATTACAACAATCGCCTTCCTGCAGAGCCCTCAGCCCTGTGCATCGATATCATCATTGACGCTCGCCGTTTTGCCCGCGTGTCTGCTCCGCGTGCTGCCTCTCTGACAGGTGTGTGCTGCGAGGGTGCGTGCCCAAGAAGATCCTCGTGTACGGCTCAGCCTTCAGCTCCGAGTTTGAGGTAACCCGTTCTTCGCAGCAATGCTGGTTCGCCACCAGTCAGTGCAGGGCAAGTGCAGCGCGTCACCGTCCATGTGACCTCGTGATTTATGCTAAAAGCCATTTCTGACGCACATAAACAATCGTCGGGCATACGACTGCCCGAATCCCATTCATTCGTTTGTTCCAATGTTATTCTCGGTCTTATGAGTTGGGGGCCATGAGGCAAGTGCACCTGTGCTCCTGTGTTCATGGCTGTGCTCGTTGATCGAGAACCAACCACCCACCTCCACTCTATCCCCACGTTTCTTTCTCGCTCCATTGTAATTCTCTCCTTCTCTGCTCCTTTTTTCCTCCGTCTCTCTCCAAATTCGTCTCGGGATTGCCCGCTCGTGATTTTTCTTCTCTATCTATTGCTCTCTCCTCGCCTCAGGACGCAGCTGGCTTCGGGTGGAGCATCCCAGGCACGCCCACCTTCGACTGGAAGCACCTCATTGCCAACAAGGTCAGTCGCCTTCATTCATCCCTCTCTTTGCACTGCCTTCTGCGGCGCATCTTCGCATTGTAGTGTACCGAGCCGTACTGTACTATACAGTGTACATTAATATGTATTGTAAACGTTGGTTTAAGGGCAAGGCGATTCTGCGGGGCTTCAAGCAGTGGGCTTCAATATGTATTTGCGCCTCTCGTCACAGCTGATGCAGAGGGCTTGAAGTTACCCGTTCGTGCTTCCTCTGTCTGTGATGACACTAGGTCGGGTTGTTCTTTTCTGCCGTGCTCCCTGTGTGATATGCTTCTCTCCCTGCAGACGCGCGAGTTTGGACGCCTCAATGGTGTATACAAGGGCATTCTGAGCAACGCGGGGTGACGCTGGTGGAGGGCCGGGGCAAACTGGCGGGGCCGCATGCGGAGGGTGTGACTGCCCCTGATGGCCCGTGCGCCCTGTCTCCTTCTGCTGTTCCTTTCTCCCTTTCTGCAGACCCGCGAGATTGAGCGCCTTAACGGGGTGTACAAGCGCATTCTGAGCAATGCTAATGTGACGCTGGTGGAGGGGCGCGGCAAGCTAGCAGGTCCGCATGCAGTGGAGGTGACGGCGCCTGATGGGACGGTGAAGCACATGACCGCCAAGCACATCCTCATTGCTGTCGGTGGGCGGCCCCACCTGATCGACATCCCTGGCAAGGTGCGCTGTGAAAAGGGTGGCTTGGCCATGGGCATAGGCATGGACTTTGCATGGGCGCATGGCATGGGCGCATGCGGTGGAGGTGACGGCACCTGATGGGTCGGTGCGACACATGGCCGCCAAGCACATCCTCATTGCCGAGGGGGGGTGGGGGGGGGCGCTGGCCGCAGCTGACTGACATCGCTGGCAAGGTGCGCGTTTGGAAAATGCTCATGGATTGCTCTCGGGGCATGGTTCCATGGCATGGTGTCATGTTGTCTGTTCTTCAAGAGTAAGATCTCTCTGGCCTTCAAAGAGCACCCTACCTTATTGTCCACACCACACGAGCAGCACTCTCTGATTCACCGTTGATGAATCTGCCACCCCTCAATAGATTCGCTGATTCTTATCTCCTCCATCCCTCCAACTCTTCTCCCACTCATCCCCGTCCCTCCTCCCCTCTCTTTCCCCCTTTCCCTCTCTCCCTCCCCCCCACTCTTTTTCTTACTCCTCTTTCTCTTTCTCCTCTCCCCTTTCTCTTCCCCCTCTCCCCGTTCTCTTCCCCCTCCCTCTTTCTCTTCCCCCTCTCCCTTTCCCCTTTCTCTTCCCGGTCTCCCCTTCCCCTTCCCCTTCCCCCTCTCCGCTTTCCCATTCTCCATCCCCCCCTTCTCTTCCCCCTCTCCTGCCCCGCTTTCCCTCCCACTCCCTCCCCCAATCGCCAGGAGTTCGCCATAACGTCAGACGAGGCGCTCAGCCTGGCGGAGTTCCCCAAGCGCGTGGTCATTGTGGGCGCCGGGTGGGTTGCTTGCATTGGAGGGAGGAGGAGTGGCAAGTGGGCGGATGGGGGGGGGGAGGGGGAAGAGAGTGGGGCGATAGGCGAGGGGGGAGGGGAGATGGGGGGAGGGGGAGGGGGGGGGGGAGGTGTTAGGCTAGTGGGGAGGGAAGGATGGGTGGAAAGGGTTGTCCACATAACACGTCTTCTGGATCTTCTTCTGAGTCTCTTGTATCTGTCCAACCTCCCATTCCGCATGCCCTCCCACATCCCTGGCCTGGCCGGGCCCCAGCCGTCCCTCCACCATCAAAACTTTGAGCCTAAGAAGGTTCTCTGAGTCAAGTCACCTCATCATTTTTGTTCCTCCCCCGAAACCCCTCCACCCACCCTCTCCCCCTTCCTTTCTGTGTACCCCTCCCTCACCCCCTTTCCCTTCTGAGCCCCGGGTCTCGTCCCTCCTCCCTGGACTGCCTCTCCTCCTCCCTGGACTGCCTCTCCTCCTCCCTGGACTGCCTCTCCTCCTCCCGCTCCCCAATCCCGCTCGTCCCTCCCCTTCGCCTCTCCACTTTCACCCCACAGCTACATCGCAGTGGCAGCTGACTTCCCCACAGCTACATCGCAGTGGCAGCTGACTTCCCCACAGCTACATCGCAGTGGCAGCTGACTTCCCCACAGCCACATCGCAGTGGCAGCTGACTTCCCCACAGCTACATCGCAGTGGCAGCTGACTTCCCCACAGCTACATCGCAGTGGCAGCTGACTTCCCCACAGCTACATCGCAGTGGCAGCTGACTTCCCCACAGCTACATCGCAGTGGCAGCTGACTTCCCCACAGCTACATCGCAGTGGCAGTTGACTTCCCCACAGCTACATCGCAGTGGCAGCTGACTTCCCCACAGCTACATCGCAGTG